TCCAACCTAAGTGATTCTATGATTCTAAGTTCTTTTTGAGAAAAGGATGTGAAAGAGAAGAGTGGCATTGCAGTAGCAATTCCTTTGCAGTAAGGGAGAAGTAAGAAAATCATGATGCTTTGAAATTATAATGTGTGGGAACAGAAAGTATTAGGGAAAGATGCAAGACACAAGTAATCATCTGAACAGGAAATGACAGAAAAGAATACAGCAAAGTCCAGGCAATCCTTAGAATTGAAATGGAAATAAGTAGTTGATCTTTGACCTAACAGATATGGTGTTATGGTCATAAAAATGGGGAAAGTAAAAAAGGCTGCCCTTACCCAAGCAGTAACGGACAGACAAAAGGATGGGTCTAAGAAGAAATCCATGTTAGATTATACGAAGTAAGTGTGCAAGAACTAGATATTCTGGATGCAAGGATGTAAAATTATAATCTCTAACTACTGTGGGGCCTATAAATGTTGCACTGCTCAGCAACATCCCTTTGCCTTCTATCAACCTCAAGAAGCAGAAGTATTAGATAAAGGTAAAATGGAAGGCTATATGACTTAAAGGTCATTTTGCCCTCTTGCAACTCAATGGGAACTCACTTAGGCAACCTGGCCTGAGCTATGTCCATTACTAAGTATTAGTATACAGTGGTGATATATATGCTTTTTAGACATATATTTTAAAAAGTCAAAATTGCAGTCAATAAGCTTAAATGCTTATATCCATTAAGGCATCCTCTAGATAACTATTTCACACTGATGTAGTTTTAACTTATATATTTCACATCACTAAATAACAGCCCTGTATCATGGTAGGCAAACAGGGAGAGTCCTTAAAATACACCTCTCACCAGTTTTTGCTGTTGGTTTGATTTAGCCTCTCAGATCCATTCAGATTGCAGGATGCTGTGACTCTCAGTCCAGCATGCCTAACTTTAGTCCTGTAAAGCATCTATGTCCTGCACTTCAGATTTGAGATTGCTTTTGGAGTTGATGGCCTGAAAGCTAGGCAAAAAAAAAAAAAAAGAAAGATACTAACAGATTTCTTAGAAAATAACGTTTGGGTTTTTTTTTAACTGAGGAGTGTACCTTTTTCAATGCTGAAACTCTATTTTCTGACATAAACAATATTTAACAGCAAGGACTCCTCATTTCAGAATTTAATCTAGGCACATTTTAACAGATAATGTCAATATTCTCTTTTCTACAGAAGACTCCACCTTTGCAGACTACTTTGGAAGTGAAATTGCAGTTAAAGTGATTCAAATATTGTTTAAATACAGTTTACTAATCTAAACCCCAAATAATTTTGTGAACTGCGAATGCTGAGTCTCTAAATATTCTATTCAGCTGGCAAAGCTGCAGAACTGTCTCATGTGCTTCCCAATGCTGTTAGTACTCTATTCCCCAGTTCTAGTCTTAAACCCAAAACCACACAGACATACTCAAGTGAGAATTGATCAACATGCAGAAATGTGAGAGTTCCAAAGGTTCTCATTGGCAACATAAACATCCAGATACTTCTTAATTATGGGGAGGAAAAAAAAAAAAAATCAAAAAAGTGAGCACCTGGGAAAAAGCCTCAAAATGAGCTTTATTCATTTATTTTTCAGTCAATCAGTCTTTCAGCCTGCCTAACCCTTTACTAGCACCAACAGACAAACAGCAGAAAGCATGTAAACCTTGCAAAGAAGGCATTTCCACTTACCGTTTTTCACTTCAGCCTAGACTGCTCCTTATGGTAAGTGTCTTACGTATGTCCGCTTAGTGAGTTAACTGAATCCCATTAGACAATATTAGACTATCTTCCTAGAAAGGACAATAAGTAGAAGTTACTCACATTACAGAACTGTTTAAAATGATTTAGTGTGCATTTGCTTCATAAACGCCATATCCTTCTTCACCTTTTCTTTTAAAAGTTTATCTTCACCAGTGCTCTTTCTTACCCCAACCACAATCTCAAAATATTATTTAGGAGAATAAAAACAATAGTTAGGACAGTAAGCTTATCAGCTGAGGAAGACAACTCTCTGAGTCATGGTATAGAACTGAAAAGTAATGGAGGGAACAGGAGTAAGAACTGTACCTGCTAGGTCTATTTCAGCACCACAATGCAGAGGACAGTCAACACTTCAAGAGGGTGAAATTCACCAGTTTATCATGGGTGAGATTCTTCTCTTAACTGCTTGCAGTCAGGTTTGGCTTTGATTTACCTGAATAATTTTAGGTATCAATACCAACAGTAAAGAATGTCCCAGTAAGTGTCAATAATTAAACTGTTCAATAATAGAGAAAACCTTACAAGCTTTTTGAGGAAAATATAAAAAATGAACCCAATAATCTGATTTACTTTGTTACAGTAGAATGCATCATTCAGATTTAGATAGAGGGGCAGAAGATCTTGAATTAAGTACAGTATTAATAACCTATATATACCTCCATATACACTGCAACTGTTCAGAAAGTCCAGAAGACATTTGCATTGTGCCAGCCTGTTTTATCTATACAGCATCAAAAATGTAAGTGAGTAACCTAAAAAGGAAACCTAAATACTTTTTTAGTTCTTTCTGTACCTCAGTATGATCCAAGATCTATATCAAATCACTAGCAGTAAACTCAGTAACACAGTTCTTGACACCCCCCACCCCCAACTTCAGAGTTAAGTACTTGGAAAGAGTTTCACACCTTTATCTAGCCAGTTAAAATTTAAAAAAAAAAAATTCATTAAAGTCTATTTTCAGTCCCCAAGTCAGGGCCACAGATGCATCTGACACTTCTCAGGGCCAGAATCATCCCTAGAGTACAAACCTACATTTGCTCCTTGAAAGAACAGCGTGGGTCACAGTTTTTCTTTAACACACAAACATGGCAGAAGGAATGCCCAGCTTAAGCATAGTGACCCAGCATAATAGTTCATATGTAACAGCATCTGTCTCCAAGCAGATGATTCAGTGTCTCCTCAGCTTGAAGACATACATTTCCCAGGTGTTTTGAGTTGCTAATCAAAATATTAGCTGACTAAAATCCCATCTCTGTCCAATTTTATACATTTAGAGATTTTCAGAGTGACCAAGCCTCATACTGTCAGACATGAAAAACCACAGTTAATTTTCTACTGGAAAGAGTTTATATTACTTAGGAGTACAAAATTAAGCTTCTGTATAAATTGCATGACTATAGTCTTAGTTATGAGTTTGCTTTCTATTAGCTCTACTCAACTATTGACCAGGTTGCTAGTTTACCAGTCAGCTATTACCATTCTGAAATGCATTTCCATTGTAAAAAAAGTGCAAAAGCTTCTACTGCTACTTAGCTCCTCAGCTATGAAAACAAATGTTAAATTAATCAATTAAGGTGGAAAAATTAATAAGGCTGCTAGTAGATACAGTAGAAACACCATTAATTTCCCGACTGATCTATGATTCACAGACTTCAGAAAAGGACTACAGTTAGACTAACTACTTTATTTTTATAACAAACCATTATAATATACAGGCTCCACCCCACCTCAAGTTTTGGCAAGATGAAAAGATACCCAGGCAGAGAGAGAAAACAATGTTTTCTTAGAAGAGACAGCCTGTTCAACTGGAGAAGCAGCCAAGAAAGAAAAAATTGGCTGCATGTAATGACTATTCTAAAGAAGAAAGATCCTGGACTTTTTTTAATTAGACTTGTTGAGAGCTCTGACCTCAGAACACAGCACTGTAAAACTGGCAAGAATGTGGCAGAGGGGTAATTCACTATTTATTTCCCATATCAGCCAAAGCAAAGAGTGACTTACCTTTGAACTCTTGCCACATATGTGCATCTATTTTGCTTCATCTAACAGGCCTTTCTGAGAAGCACATTGTAAATGCTGAATGCAGCAAGCTGTGAAAAAGGTTAAGCATCATACCCCAGTGATCCCAGCATTTTACTGGGCTACAACATTGCATCTCTGTAAAGAAACAGCAATCAGAGAAGCTATGCTTAAGACTCTGTGCTAAAAAAGCAAGGAAAGATACATTGTCTGTAACAACAGCAGAGACAATCCCAGTCCTGAATTGGACTGGGAGTTGGTTACCTGTAGAACTCTTTCCACTACAGCATGAAGCTCAGAGCTGGATTCTCAGTAGGGCACATTATTATGTGATACACTGCAGGCTGCCATACTTAAGTTGATAGTGTATGTGCCATACCAGCTTTTAACTAGCTTACCTTCTACACAGAAATCCAACTGAATGGAAAATAGAAGGTTCACTCTTCAATACACAGTATGAATGCATGCACCTAATTAAATATGTGGTATTTAAACCACATTTAGGAAATAACTTCTTGTTTATCACTTAGCCCAATCCAGCAAAATCTAAATCTAAATCTAAAAACTGCACCAGTGTTAAGACTGTGCATGATTTCATTCTAGGAGAGGAATGCTACAATTGAATAGTTTAGGTGAAGGCCTAATCCGGGAAGGCAAATCACAACAGGCTGCAAAAATGTAGTAGTATTTATGTTTACCAGAACTAGGGCATTAGATGCTAAGTATGACAGTTAGTCTAGGTTACAGTGGACCTTTAAGAGCAAATCTAAAAAACATTGTTCGCTATTTCAATTTGGTGACAGTGAATTCAAACAAATCATTGTATCAGGAATATGTGCTTCATCAGTCATGTAAGAAATCCAATACTTTCTACAGCGTCTCCCACTTTCAGGCATTGCCTACAAATGTCAATCACTGGAACAATTCAACTTCCTTGTGTTTCTACAGGGCCTGTGCAACAACCCCCCAATTAATTAAAAGTGGAAATTGACCACATTTGCACCTGAGATTTCAGAAGAGTTGGCACAAACCAGGATCAGACATATGTCACTAACAAGATATGCCTGACTGACTGAACGTGAGCAAGAAAGTTAGCCAAGACCCAAGTATGCTCTGATGACCTACCATCAGTAACATGGGGGTCTGCTCAAAGGCTACTTACAGCTTGCCAAGATAAACCACCTAATTTTTCAAATTTCGGGGCCTACACAAAAGTACTTCTGAGGAAGCCCTAGGTGGTACAAGAGGCGGTTGCTGGCTGTAGGAGGTAGGCTTGTGAGGGAGCCCCATGAACGCCCCCAAAGGAGGGGCTGGGACCGAGCCGGTGCTGGGGATGTGAGGCGGCTCCGCCAGCCAAGCGCCGTTCTGCATGCCGAAAACGGGTACTCCGCGATACCAGCCCCACGGAGCCCCCTGCCCTGCCGCGGCGTGCGGGGGCACCCGAGACCCGGCAAGGCCCGCCGAACGGCCACCCCGAGGGGACAGGCGCGCGCCTCTGCTCCCACCCGCCCCGCTCAGCCCGCCACCTCGGCGGGCCTGGGGAGCAACGCGGCGCCCCCGCCGGCGTGTCGCGGCCCAAGCGTGGCAGGAGCCGGCGGTCCCCGCTCCCTCAGGGACCGCGCCCGCCCCGAGGGGCGAGAAGCCCCCAATCCCTGTACGCTAATGACGGGGCTGCCACTGGTCGGCAGGCAGAAGTTCCCGCGCCGTCACTGGAGTATGCTAAGGAGTGCCCATCCCATTGGCTCGCCTGCCCGCGGCGGCTCCAAACAACATTTGCATGGCGGTGGACAGCTCTTTGTTGTCAACCGCGGCGGGCGGCGGGCGGTGCGCGCGCGTTCGCGTTGGCGCCGGCTGGGTGGGCGCG